AACGATGATGAAATTTCGAAATTTTGAGTTCGTTATAGACGATTTAATTGGAAACTTGAAATGGTTCATCGTTTAACGGCGATCGTACGTATGTACCTATATACGTTGCTGTGCCATGTGATCGACGTATTGCCGCTGCTGCGCCAAGATCCGCGTTTTTGATGGCCGCCCTGGATGATTCCTGTCCTGGGGCCTTCTTTCTCATGTTTTATAGTATCATTATAGTCTGTTATGCTTCTTCTTGGTCAAAAGATTTTTCAGAAATTTTTGGTTTAGATAATCATCAGAAAGAGTTGTGTTTTATTATAAAAATTAAATTCTTCTAATTTATTATAAATATGGATTTAGCTTTTAATCTAAATATTTAAAAATTAATATACTATTGTTTATTGTTTTAAGACAGGTTATTGATTAAATTTTTTTTTTAAAAAAAAATCAGATAATTAGATAATTTCTTTGTACTGTATAAGAAAACTACAACTTCCATTGTCTTAATATAAAAAGAACTTGTTAAAATAACTCTGAAAATTTGTATCTTTTCTTTATAATATAGTTATATGTGCTTAAGAATAAATGTCAAGAATATAATCTTAATTAATTTTAAAATTAGCTATTAACTAATTAAAATAGATATTTGATATACAAATCTTAAATTTGTATTAAGAAGCATTTTAGAAGAAATAAAGTATCAAAATATTTTACAATCATTTTAGATGCCTGGTAAATTAATTTGTATAGGTGAAATTTTATTCTATATAATTTTATCAGATTATTGTTAATTACAATATAAATAATCATTTTAACTAATGCTTTATTTTAAAAAAATCTTAGAAGTTTTATATTAGAATTCAATTTGTACTGAATTATAGTGATATAATAATAAATAGAGTTTATCAAAAAGAATAGTATAGAATAGATTACAATAGTTACTGTTACTAAAGATAATAATTTTAATAGTCTTTTAATTTTTATATACTTTTATTTAACAAATTTTATTATTTAATAAATAATAGTTAATTTTGATAATAGTTATAATACTTATAAATAAATTTAGAATTTAACAATATATATTATATCGGTTGGTAATATGATTTAATTTGGCACAGATTTAGCATTAATAATTTTATTAGTTAAAAACTAATATATATATAATATTGCATAGAAATGATTTATATATTTATTTGATCATTTATCTTATCATTCCACTTTACTATCAATATTTCACTTTATACTTAAAAATAGGTGTATCAGCTATTGAACATGCCCAAGCAAAAGAATACAAAGATGTATTTTATGCTAATAGTAGAAAAGTTTTTTGTCATATCTGTAAAATTGTTATTAAAAATACCCATAAATCAGTTATTAATAGTCACTGCAAGTCAAAAAAGTACAAATTAAATTTAGAACTTGAAAAAACTTCATCTCAAAAAACATGACAAATTACTATTGCTTCATGCAATAAAGTACTTAGTGAATGTGAACAACTTAATATTGAATTTATAAATGCTTTAACTGCTACTAATATTTTTTTGGAGAAGGTTGGCAAGTTAAAGAAAATTTTTTTAAATAAATATTGTAGCCAAGGTTAGCATCAAAATTATTATTATTAATACTTACTATAATGTATATATTAATATTTAAGTTTTAATAGGTGGTGATATTGTTGGTTCTAATCAGTTACAAGATAAATATCTTCTATTAGCTTTTGCGCAAACAAAACAAAGTTTACATCAAGAACTTAATGATTAATATATTTTTATTATAGTGGATAAAACAACTATGTATTGTTTAGTTTTAAAAATAAAACTAAACTTGTTAAAACTTCTTATTTAACAAAAGTTAATGGTAGTATAATTGCTTGTTTTACTATAGATACTCTCTATTCTTATAACATTCCATTTGATAATACTATTCTTATTATCTCTGATAACATTTTCTATATAAAAAAAGCATTTAATATTCTTTTTTCTTTAATTTCTTATTTAAGACATAATAGATGTTTAGCACATATTTACAGTTTAGTAGGTAAAACATGGATTACTTATAAAAATTTTAAGAGATTAGATAGTGTAGTTAATAATCTTAAGGAAATTTTTACTTACTTTTCTGCATGCAAAAGAAGGTGGCTTAAATATTTGGCACTAAATACTATATCAAATTTAAATTTTATGCCTATAGATGAAAATCAAATTGATTTAGAAAATTCATCAAATATATTAAATAATCTTTGTTCTACTTTTCTACCACTTCCTATAAAAACCAGGTGGAATTCCTGGTTTCAGTTTATTTTTTAGCTATATCTTTATTTGGATCTTTTTTCAAATTTTATTTCTGATAAAATTAATTTAGCAGGTAACAAATCAAGTAATGCGTCTCAAGAATTGAATAGGTCATTTCAAGATCGTGAACATTTATTTTTTAAAAAATAATTATTATATTTATAACTTTTAATACACAATCGTACGTATAATATATAAATTATTAAATTATCTATTAATTAAATACTAATATACTATAATATTTAATTTTAGGCTTGTAAATAATTTAGAATTTTTTGAGACTCGAAACAAACCTGTTGCTCTATATGTTATATCTCATATAGAACAAACTTAGAAAATAGAACAATTAATACACCTTTTAGTACTTAAATAAATAATAAATTTATTACAAGAAATATTAATTCTGAATTTTATATAGCTATGTTTTGTGAAGTTTTTGAATTAGTATTAAGCAAATTTAACAAGCATATTACAGAGTATTCAGTACTTATACTATTTAAAGCTATTCAATGTTTTGAGCCTTGATAGATTCATTAACAAGCTACTAGGAAAAGTCTTTTTATATACTTAGTAATTCTAGAATTCAATAAACCAAGTAATTAATTAATTTATAAATAGGGAATATATTGTAATGGAAATGAAATTTTTAAATCAGATTTTAATTTGGAAGAATATTGGTTAGAAAAAACTTCTTTTTTACCTTCTTTAAATAGAATTGCTTTAAAATATATTTGGGTTTCAATTTCTGCTATTGATGTTGAGCATAGTTTTCTGTATACAAAAATATTTTAGCTAATAACTAGCATGCACTTTCTTCTGAAACAATTGAAATATTAAATATGATATATTTCAATTAGAGCACAAATAATAACAATAAAATTTAAAATCGCATATTTTATATAATTTTTAATATTGTGCATAATATGTACATATTTTTGGCTAAAAATTTGCATAATTCTGCATAATTTGCAACTTACCGCATGTATAATTTGGCTATCCTTGCAATATAATTCTGGACACCCTAATAGTAGTCAATCAAAGTATAATTTTAAGTGATTGGCATTAATTGCTTTTTTTAGAATTTTGTCATCTATAGAACAAAGTTTGTAGACTCCTGGGGCAATGGTATTATGAATATAATAAGAACCTTTCTATTTTTCTCGAAATTTATCACTATGAACCTTAGCTTGAGCAGATTGATATAATAATACTTTATCTCCAATATGAAATAAAATTTTCTTAACATGTTCATCATGCTTTTCTTTTTGTTTTTGTTGAACTATTTCAATATTTTGTTGAGCTTTTAACTAGACTTGCTGTAATTTATTCATTATAAGATCAATATGAACTTGAAAGTTGCTGTTTATAAGGTGGCTTCTTAGCATTACTTGTAGAATTTAATATTAAATCTAATGGTGTAATAGCTTTTTGTTTATAAAACAATTCAAAAGGTTTATATTTGGTAGTAAATTAAAGAATAGTTTGGTAGGCAAATAAAGTAGCAGAAATAAAAGTATTCTATAAATTTTCATAGTCACTAACATACTTTGCTAATATAGTACACAAAGTTTTATTAAACCTTTTAGTTAATCCATTAGTTTGAGAATAATAGGCAAAAGCAAGTCAATGTTTAATTGTCATTAGTTGACAAATAGTATCAATTAGACTATTACAAAAAGAAGAACCTTGATCAGATAATAACTCTTGAGAATATCCATGACAAGTAATAATTTCATCATAAATAAACTTGGCAATAGTAGTGACAGATCCAGGGTGTAGGTGAGATTTTCTGAGTCCCGTGATTAATCAATCTCTGATCTTGATCAGAATCTTTCTTGTTATATAGATCAACATAAATAAATACACTTTTTTTTTTTGATTAATAATAATTTAACATCAAATTAAATCAACACTCTCCCCGACGATCACTTGGCACAAAAATTAGTAAGAAGAAAAAGCGTCTGTTTTCCAATTTACAAGACAACACAATAGTGCTAGATACTAGCAGACAACAAAAAAGACATAGACACAAGGTAGTCTCACAATAGCGAGTCGACTTGCAAGTGGAAAAAAGGGCAAAACTCTAAAAACATAGCAAGAGTGATTTCAAAGGCTGAACGTGACAAAATCTAACAGAAGATTGTATAAACAATAAAAGTCATTTCAGCAATAGAAGAAGCCTAGATAGAACGTCAACTACAATATTTTTTGACATAGAAGTGCTAA